GGCTCCAAGTTGAATGATTGCTACCAAGCAAGCATTTATACCTTATTTGTTTGACTCTGCTGGGGTCAGATAAGAGCACAGGTGGAAAGCAAGTAGTTGTCCGACCTACCTGCTCCACCCTTCTGGCTTGTTCTAATCAGCAGTCTTCACTAGCTTCTCCTTTAAAGTGAATGGTTGATTTAACATTGGAGTTAAAAAGGGAGGGACAGCAAGAACAGAAGACATAACAAAGGTGCACAATATTAGAATCCCTCTACTAAAAAGAGATTTTTAATCTCTGTAAAAATGTTTATATTTATGTGATACAAGGCAGAAAAAACTGCCCAGCTACAGCCTTCTCCATGCAAGCACCAATATTTCAAGCTGAAGAAAAGACTGAAAACCATACTAGCTATTTCACAACTTGACAGGAACTCTTCTGCTCATTGCCCCTGGCAAAATGAACAGCCCGTCAGAATGTCAGCTGTTCAAAGTCCCCAGCCTTCAGGACAGGCAGAGGACAAGTCACACTCAGATTTCATTTGGTATCTAATAATAGAAAGTCATAGCTAACAATACAACTACAGAACAGGGGTTCAATACCAAAGATTTTTGATTTTGCAACGTCGTTCCAGTTTAAGATAGTACTGACCTCAGCAGGCACGGAATACAAGACATAAACAAATACTTCCTCATCCATTTCAAGCAAAATCAGCCAGATTTGTGCAGCCCATCAACAAAGGTGAATACCACATAAAACAAGAGACTTTGTCACCACTAAAATCAAACAGGTCAATTGGCAGGAAGGACTATTTGAACACAGCAGACCCATCTACAACCAAAGGAAGCTAGATTCGAGAGAATGTTTGTGTACAACCAAAAGCATGTGAAGCGGGCCAAGGCATGCAGGATCTTTGGGAAACTGGTATTTGGAGGCTCACAGAAACCACAGATAGTTGAGGTTGGAAGGGACCTCTGGAGATTGTTTAACCCACCCTCTCTGCTCAAAGCAAGGTCAACTAGGTCAGGTTGCTCAGGGCCATGTCCAGTTGGGTTTTGACTACCTCCAAGGATGGAGACTCCACAACCTCTCTGGGCAACCTGCTCCAGTATTGAATCACCCTTACAGTAAAAATGTTTTTTCTTATATTTTAATGGAACTTCCTGTGTTTCAATTTATGTCTATTTCCTCATGCCCTTTCACTGGGCACCATGGAGAAGAGTCAGAGAGTCTGTCTTCTTTATTCCCCCATTAGGTATTTAGATACACTGATAATATTGCCCCAAACCTTTACTGCTGCAGACTAAACAGTCCCAGCTTGCTGAGCCTCTCTTCATATGAGAGATGCTCTAGTCCCCTCATCATCTTTTTGGTTCTTTGCTGAACTCACTCCACTATGTCTATGTCTAGTAGTGGGGAGCCCAGAACTGTACCCAGCACTCCAGATATGTCTCACCACTGCCAAGCAGAGGGAAAGGATCGCATCTCTTGACCTGCTGACAATGCTCTTCCTAACACAGCCCAAGTACGTTGAATTTCTTTGCCGCAAGGATGCATTGCTGTCTCATATTTGGCTTGGTGTCCACCAGGACTGTCAGGTCCTTTTCCGCAAAGCTGCTTTCCAGCTGGTTGACCCCCAGCGTGTAACAGTGCATGGGGTTATTCCTCCCTAGGTACAGGATTTGGCATTTCCCTTTGTTGAACTCCATGAGATTCCCGTTTGCCCATTTCTCCAAAAGCGACGAAGTACCTCTGAATGGTGGCACAGCCATCTGGTCATCAGCCACTCCTCCCAGTTTTGCAACATCTGCAAACTTGCCAAGGATACACTCTGTCCCATCATCCAGGTCATTAATGAAGATGTTAAACAGTATTGGTTTCAATATCAATCCCTGGAGTACACCGCTAATAACTAGCCTTCAACTGGACTTCATGCTGCTGATCGCAATCCTTTGAGCCCAGCAGTTCACCCAGTCTTCAGTCCATCGCACTGCTCATTTATCTAGTCCATATTTTATCAGTTTGTCTATGAGAACATTATAGGAGACAATGTCAAAAGCCTTACTAAAGATAAACCACATCCATTTCTCTTTCCTCATCCACTGAGCCAGAACTACTACATTCCAACTATTAGATTTCAGATGTGCTTCTGAAAAGAAGTTTGGATTAGAGAGATAAGGGAACACAGTATATTTGTGTTGAATTCAGAGTTACAAATGAAGAAAATAACCTGAGGCTTAGCAAGTCAGCAGACCTGCTTCATGCAGAACGGAACTAACTCTCATTTTTGAGTAAAGTATTGGAGGCAAGGATATTCAAAAAGGTCTTTGAAGAATCAATCATGGAAAATTTTATTGGTGTCTTCAAATTCACATCTGATGTGCAAGCAGCACTCCGGAGGTGTCACTGATAGCAGTAACAAAAACCCAAACATATTACAGAGTGAAAGAGACAAAGAAAGAAGCAATTCCAAAATTAAAAGCATTCCTGGTAGTCAACTTTCTAGATACCTGGGTCAAACCACAAGATCCTGAAACTGGTATGTTATTTGGGGAATTCTGTGTGCAATTCATTCTTTAACAACCAAAGGTCCCACAAGATTTTGTACATGTGCAAATTAGCATCCGTGATGAACTGCAGTTTTTAGCCCAGATTTAGTCTTCCTCAGAAACTAATGGCTCTTTAAAGTATTTATCTCCTTCTTCCTCAGTAATGCACTTCCCCCCTCAAAATTTGCCTGAGTGCTTTCCTGTTCAAGAAAGATCTAAAATGATGGTACCAGTGGCCCTCAATCTACAAGGATTTCTGCACCCCAATGGAATAGCTGTACTCTCCACAGACAGACCATCTCATTATAACCATTCTGAAGTACTTATTTCTGCTTACAAATGTAAGACAATCATTATATTGTGCTACAAGTATTTCATAAATGTAATATTACACCATTCACATTTCAAATAAAAAATTAAAAAAGCAAAGCACCCCACACCACCGCTGCTCACACTTGGGCAGTAACTAAAGAAGAGAATTATCGTTTATTTCTCCCTTGCCTTTATTTTTCTTCTTTCATGTTCTATTTTTAATTCCTACAGTGACAACAGTAGGTTTATTCATGGAACTGTTTTAGTAGGTACGTCAATGCTTCTTTCTACTTAGAAAACTAAGTCACTGTCTGTATCAATAAATATTTCTCACGTGAACTGCATCAAAATTTGCCCACAAAGATCTAATGATTAAGATATTAAATTGAGATTTTGGGGGTTCAATTCTATTCCAGTTGTAACTTTGGTCAAAGTGGCCAATGCCTGTTCTTCAGTTCTTCATTTATACACCGAGAATCTTTACACTAATACTGAGAGTATCATTATGTATCATATTACGCATCCTCCTTTAGCTGCTTTCCCATCACTCTGAAGGGCATTGTGTTAGAAGATGACCCAAAACTAAAACCTTATTTGAGCCTCAAAAAGCTTCCAAGCAGAAAATAAAAGCTTCTGTAAGACAAAGAGCTCCACAGCCAAAGCTGTAAGAGAACTTTTTGAAAGCAGTCTTGCAGGTGGATTAGTAGAAAGTGAATTGTGTTAACTTGATCCATCTTTGAAGAAGATTTAATCTAAGGTGACTTTATATTTACATAGACTAAGATCATTGACACAATGTATTAAGATATTTCAATCCTGGGCACTGTAACCTACAGTTAAAAGGATACAACAAGTAGCTGAGAAGATAAATTTTTATGCCTCTCTAACTAGAGCTGTAAAAGCTTGCCTCGTTCTAGAACATACTGTCTTCTGCCTTCTTTACTCTCACACTGGTATAATTATACATAGAGATTCTTGTAGCTTTATTTTCCATGACACTATTTAAATACTATCTTTCCAGAACTTAAGTACACTAACGATTGGTCATAAAGTGCTTGGAAAGAAATCAAGTTATGCAAGATGACTATTTAGGCTGCTTGCAAAAGCAGCCAAAATTGACCCCTTTTTTGCAACAATATGTGCCCCTCCTAACATGCTGTTCACTGCAACACTCCTGCCAATTCTAAACAGCATCTCAGATTTATTTCTTGTTTAAGTCTTGGTTTTAAGAGTTTTCTCCAGGTACATTACCTTAGCCTCCCACACAGGATATTATTTGCCTACATAAATCTTTCTAGATATCAGCTTTAAAACATTACCATTTCTGTTGTGTACAACCTTCCATCAATTTAGTTTTGTCTGTGAATGTCAATATTTTAAGTAGCCTTTTCTCCTATGAGGCAGACTCAAGAATGAAGGCTTGTTTTATTACACAGTCCCCTTAAAGGAACAGGTTTTCAAAAATGAAACAAAACACTTGACCCCTATAATGCTAACACTCTTGAATATGATAAAATCTAGTTGCAACATGACTCTAAAGAGACGAAGGCAGGTAGACAGTTTAGAAACTAGCATGCCAAGAGAAGTGTTCTCTAGAGATGTGATCCAAGAGGGAGGCTAAGGGACTGGGGAAATCACAGCTTCATCACAGGAAGGACTTTCAGAAAGTCTAGAGAAGACAATGACACGTAAGAAAAAAAATTTGTATATGTTAAAGAATTTCTAAGCTCATCTTATAACAGGTCTTCTCCCACATTAACTAGATGAACCCTGATTAAAAAAAAGTTGGAAAAAAAACTTACATCGATTACATGTTTTTGATAAACATATGTTATACACTTGACACTCTAAAATTGATTTGCAGAGTCAACCTGGCTACGGCAAGCATATATTTCTGTTAGTCTCTAATACACTGATTTCAGCCAGTTTAGAATGGGAAACAACTGTGAAGGGCCCAATGTAAGTTTACAGATAAGAGGGAAAAAAGGGGTCAGAAGAAATTTTTAAAAAAAATGTTTCTCAGCATTAACATAAAGAAGAATCTCTTGTAGGAAGAAAAGTGTGAGGAGAAACTATAAGCACCAGTTGAGATCAGAAATTAGGAAGAGGCAGCAAATGGGATGATTGTTTCAGAAATAAAAGAAACAGCTTATACTTACCAAATTATCAGTTTCTGGATCTTCACAGAAAAAGGGTTTTCCTTCTTTCTCCTGCTTTCTTACAAAATTTTCAATATCTACATCAAAACTAGCAGAAGTTGTGCCTTCTGAGCCTTGTGTAGATTGTTCACATTTTTCAAATAATAGTGCTAACAAGGGAAACAGTGGGTGCCTACAATAAAAGTTAAAATACATGCATAAGTATTTTCACTTATATGTACACTACTGAAAAAGTAAGACATCTAGCTCACGTAAGGTAACAGTCACTCATGTAAGAAACAGAAAGACAAGTCTTGGAGGAGACTGCATATAAGACCACTGGCTATAGCAAAACATGATGAAAGTTTGGGGTTTTTTTTTCACTTTGATTTACCGCACACTCTAGAGGCAAGTAAAGCAGTAAAAAAAGTATATTTAAATAAAGAGAACAATCGTAAGCTAAAAAGCTATGACATACTATTTAATTCACTGTAATTGAGTGGCAAGAAATACATTAATACAGTGCATTAGAAACGAGGATTAGGATTTACAAATAGGATGAATGCAGATTTAAATTATGAAATAAAGTCTGATAAAATCCATTTATTCTTCAATGTGGGCCTTATTTATACATCACAAATAACTTTACAGAACTGAGAATAGTATGCAGGCTGTACTCAGAGGCCTCCTATGAAACCACGCTCAGAGCAGAAGATGATTTTGTTAGCACAAGTCTGTAAATGAGTGGATACATCTTTCTGCTTCAGATGTTTGGTTTGTATTCTTTTTATCTGCAAACTGGTAATAATTATGTCTTTATAAAGCACTTAAAGTGAAAGAACACTTAACCTCATCAAAACTGAGCATACTGCTTAGCGCAGCACTTAACACTGGAAAATCTCAAATTAGTATGTTTATACATCAACATTTAATCCAGTTTGAGCTAATTACTGGGCAATAGATTGCTATCCCTAAAGAAAAGGGAGTAAAGATCAACCTAATTACAATAAAAATAAAACCTTGCATTAAAGACAGAAACTACAGTATAAAAAATAGTGACCATAGTTCAACAGTCCAAGTAGCTTGCTAAATTTCACTTGTGCTTTAAAGGCAGCCACCTTTAGAATACCCTTTAAAATTATGCTGAAATTGAAGAATCCCACAATAAAGGGAAGGTTTTTCTTCTTGGCTGAAGACTGACAGTGAAGCTAATTTGATCTCATTTTTTCCCTGCAAACTATTGAGACAGTTAGCCAAGAGATCATCTGATTCTAAGCTACTTATTATTAATTAAAAAAAAAAAAAATCCTCTATTCTTTACCCTTCAAAAGACAGAACACGAGTCCATTACTACCTGTAAATGGCCTGCTTGTCTGCATCCATTGGAGTTTGAGATTCTACAGGGGCAGGACTCACCCCTTCTGCATCAGTTTCAGAGCAGCTGGGATCTTGTTCCGTTTTTAATTCTGTTACTACTTGCATCTGTAGAAAAAGAGTAAGTTGTAAGTAAATCTGTATGCTCGACATAAAATAAGTGTACTGTTTTCTAAGGAAATAGCAATGCAAAGGGCTACTAAATTGCCAGAAGGTTGGTATGACTTGGCAGTTACACAAAAAGCCATAGCAGTAACAAAACCCCTCTTTTAATCCTTGACACTTTTTGATGGGTAGTTTATAAAGGTCACTCCAAGTTTCAGCACTCAGCTTTAAAATGGGAATGACAGATATTAGTAAATTGTTAAAGCATTTTGACTCTGACATGGCTATTTTTGGAATAGGCTCCAAAAAATTTATGGGGATGTCTGCATAAAAAGCCTTTAGGATGAAAACAACAGAAAGTAAAGTTTCTACTCTTAAGTTTTCTTTCTTATTTCTTACTGTCCATTTTATCAGGATAGTGAAGAAAAGAGATCCTGAAGTTTTTCTTCTCCATTAAAATGCACATTTTCTTACAAAGAACTGAAATATTCTGTTCCTCCAGATTGAAAGAACAGAATCCGTCCAGGAACTGGATTCAGTTCCTCCAATCGTTCAGTTATCAGGAGCATAACCTCCCCTGACCTTTACCACTCAAATTTACATATTGTAATAACATTATTTTAGGAATATCAAGCTACTGGAGAAAACAGCAGTAATTGCTTCTACAAATCCATTTAACACAAATCCATTTGACACACAGTTACACCATCTGCGACCACTGGAAAAACAACATAGAGCCACAGCTTCTACTGAGCACCTCCTAAATTGCACTAGGTGGCTGGTAATGCCTTTGAGGTCCTTTGAAGGTGTTGAAAGTGGTTTTCCCATCACCTCCAGCTAAGTATCTTTCAGATTAAAAGGTCTTAAAGGAACCTGACCTCTGAAAGTCATAGTTCCCACCCACCAACCCAAACTCCTTGATTTTCTCCCCTTTGAGCACTGGGAACATCTGTACAAAGACAAGAAATCCCTGCAATCTTTTTTTTCTACTTTAACCCTAACAAGTTTTATCTCAAGTAGAGGGCAGACACTGTTCTGGATATCAGCAGGCAGCCAGAATTGACACCTGCAGAAAGGAAGTGTACAGAATGCAATCCTCTGCCCTCTTTTCCAATGAGATGTACATATCGCATCACTCACAGGAACCCTCCGAGAGGAGAGCTGGCCTCCAGAAACTATTAGAGAACCTGACTCTGACAGAATTTAATCTATTTCCACACAACATAAGCAAAAGGAATTTATACTATTCCCAACAAGAAGACTGGGAGAACCAAAAGGTTTGTGCTTTATTACCTGTCAGGGCCAAGCCATCTCCTAGCAAAATCAGAAACTGAGAAAATGCCAGCGTATCCTACCCAACAGAGCAGCCTGCCTTGCAAAAAGCTTCCTCACCAAGCGTAGATGATTTTTAAGCAGAATGCTTGCAAAAAAGATGCAACTAATGGACTCATTTCTTGGCTAATGACAAGAAGGAGGAGCAAAATAAAAGGGGATGACTCATACAAGCGATTATAAATGTTGAGCCATACATCTGCAGAGTCTGAAGGGAGAGGGAATGTTCAGTTAGGGCTCTATCTCACTAGAAGGAGGAAATAGCTCACTTAAAACTGCAAGCTATTTTCTGTGGGCCACTTCCAAACTACAAAAACAGCAGGCACCCAAATTACCTGTCTATCTTGGTCACTGAGAGCTTAAAATACAAAACAAATAGAAAGAAAATGCTCTCTCCCAATCCGTTCTTTACAAAAACATGTATTACTTTCACTGACGTGTCACAGGATGGCATGTATTTGCTGGGGGAATAAAGTAAAAGATGTAAGGTAGGTGAGAGGAGGGAAAGAAATTAGAATTGCAATAAAAGAAGCAAACAACAACAACACAAATCAATAATCCCAGATTGCATTCCGATAAACATCTTTTTATAAGAGATAGGAAAAGTTGCTGTTTTTCTTCTGACTGTTCGCCACTGTTGCCATCTGCTGACAGAAGTACTTGTATTTACTGCTTAGGGCTGACACATAGTAACGTAAAAATGGGTCTTCAGAGTACAGGCCACGGCATGACTTGTCTCCAGTTAACAGTATTTTAGTTTAGCAATTCAAACTGTTGCAATATACAGCCTGTTGTACAAAAAAGAAACATCATGACCAGACATATCTGAGTATGTTTCATTATTTTAGCTGTTTGTTAACAGAAATAAGAAACTGGAAGCCCACTGACCAGCTTTCTATTTAGCAATTCTAATCAATAACCTCATTAAAATGAATTCACGTGTTTCACCAGTTTGCAGCCTGCAGCATAATGGCATCAACTTAAATGTAGTCAAAGTAGCATATAATTCTAGATAACTAAATTTATCCTTCACTTGTTCAAGATCAAGTCTACGACTGCGTAAACGTCATCTATCTATTGTAACTGGAGACACATAAGAACACTGAAGAATCATATACACAAAATATTATGGTCATTTGACTTTCCTAAGAATAGGAACATTACAGCACACAAATCATCTAGAGCAGATTCAGAAGAAAACCCCTTATCTAACCATTCTTCCAGAAGTTAAGCAAAGCCATGCAAAGATTAGCTAAGCCTTTAATAAATATCCAAGTGTTAAAGAATAGCAGCTTATCACTTCAAAGATCTTGTTTTACAAACAAGAACAGATACTTAAAAACCACCAAAACAGGCATTAAGGAAAAAGTCACTACCTTTTTTCTCTTGCTAACTGTATTTAGTTCACTGAGAAAGAAAAACACACCTACCTGTTGTCCATCTTGATAGTTGTCTATACTTAATGTCTGTGTTGCCATCATGGTTAATAAAACATTAATTATGTCAAATCATCATAAATATAAAAAAAAATTTTTTAAAAAAAAAAAAAAAGTCAGTTACAAAAGCAACCACTTAGAATCCAGTTCTAAAAGATGAAAAAAAGATAAAATTTATGCACACCTCCACCCAAAAAATTAGTGAGTTTATTGACAGTGATAGTTACGTGCATATTCCCCCCCCAAAAAAAAAAAATCAAGTTGGAAAATGCAACAGGTTTCACCAGCAAAAAGTTCATTGTATCATTTTATGTTTTAATGTAAGATTTTTAATAAGAGGCTGAGGTTCTTTTACATTCACAAACTTCAAGTAAACTTTTTATTTTTGCACTACTTAACTAACTTATTCTATCTAAGGTAATACATAAAATCTAGAAATGCGCAAAGACTTATGTTTCTGTGTTTTGAAAAGACTAGCAACACATTGAGCATTACTGTAACTGAAATAATAATAGTCTACAACCAATGAACCAAATGTAAAGTGTTAAGGAATACCCTATTTACTTATGAGTACAAATCCCATATTCTGAAGTTAGGCCCTGAAATTACTATTAGAAACCAAAGTCTCAAATCACTTCTGACATCAGGAATCTACCATCCAAGTCATTTAAGGCTCAAAGAATAGAAAAATATCCAGCAACTTTTAAACAGTTAGGCCTATGTAATTATACAGTTTCAAAAGTGACCGAGGAATTCAGAAGTCTCATTTTCATAGACATTTGATACTTTGGGAAATATTAATTTTAATAGGATTTATAACACAAGTAAATTTATTTATGTTATTCTCTCTAAGCATTAGCTGGAGTTCGGTGCCCAGATGAGTTAAACATTTTTTTAAAGTTAGACATAGTAATTAAAAAGGGAAAAAAAAAAAAAAACAAACCACCACACATCGAGTTCATCCATCAAATTACTAATTCACATTTCATTTTCTTGTCAGATTAGCAGCCATTACAACTGAAATCACATAATTCATTAAGCTATTACCATTAAATATTACCATAGAACTCAATTTTCCTTGACACATAGGAGTCCTATTGTTTACCTACTATTAAAAATATTCATATTAAAAAAGTAGACAGCTCGTGTCTTGAAAAAGATTACATCCAGGTATTAATTCCACGTTTTCTGCTCTCTTCCACTTATGTCAGTATTGAAGAACTAAGTATTAGAATTTTCAACAGTTTAAGATCTGAAACAAAACCTTTTTTCTTTGTTATGTGTTCAAACGCTACAAGTTTTTCCAACTATTTTAAAATCTTTCCTTCACCATTGCATACTACTACAGTATATGACCATTTTGAAGAGCAATTTTTACACTTCTGGATATTTTCCCCTACAGATTATAATAGTCTCAAGTAAATGTTTCATTTAGGAAACACAAGACAAATTTCAAGATTCCCTTCTGTGTTTACTTAACAGTTAAGTCAAGTCTCAGGCACGGAGACAAACCTAACTCCTCAGGACAAACCTCAAGCCTTACTTTGCATCAAGTTCTATGCAAAGTACGATTCCTAAGCATTACTGCAATTTCTTTCTTTAAAAAAAAAAAGCACTTTAAAGACCAGAGAAGTTCACCAGGATGACATAAGCATGACTTCCTTCACAAACGAGGTTATTGACTTTCACTCACTCATGCTTAAATGGAGCTGTTACTCTTTGGGAGTCTATGCCATTTTACGCACACAAAAGCATCTTGGGAACCACAAATACGAGCAGACAGAGCAGATCTTGGTTCTGGCATTGGGTCATGTGCTTGCAGAGCTGAACAAGTTTCTATCTGTAGACAACATGCACAAATCATCTTAAGTAGCTTGTGGAATACTAGCTAAAAGGTATGCTACAGTTTGGGAACTCCTATGCTAAAGTATGTTTTTTTTAAGACTACAATTTAAAGAGCAAAAGAGTAAAGACTGCATTTAGAGTTCTTCTAATAGCTTTAATGAAAGTATTTTCTCATTCTAGTTTGTCTATCTGTCTTCATAGAACATCAGTATCTCTTTCTTTGAAACTCCAAAGATATTACTGATTTCTCCACCAAAAAAATAAGATATGGGAACAACATATATGCACTCACTGATAGAAGCAC